GAGCGCGAGTGGGTTGTGTGTGGTGTGTGGGAGAGTGTTGGCCATAGCCACTGCTGCTACTCGATGAGGGGTGGGGGACAATGAAAAAGGGAGACGCAGCTACTGGCAGGTCTCGGTCTTTGTGTTAGCCAGACCCCCACTGGCGGCCCCAACCCTATACCCTAAACATTAGGGGCAAGGGGCAACATGAAATCTCCCCTTCACAGTGAGAGGAAACTATGCTTGCAGGGGTCCCCTCTAGATAGCCTTACGAGTAGGTTGTGAAAGGCAAAAACAGAAGTTGAGAGAAGAATATAGAAAGAAAGGGAAAATAAAAAATAAAAAAAATTCTGATTCTGTGTGTGATTGTGTGTCTGAGTGTTGTCATATTCGCTATACCAAAGAAAACCATAAAAAAAAGGAAAAAAAAAAAGAAAACCATAAAAAAACGGAAAAAAAAAAAGAAAACCATGACTATGCCAGACTGTTTCGTCACCCAGTCATCAGTAAATTGTGTGTGTGTGTGTGGGGTGGTGGGCGGGGTAGGTCCGCCTGTGTGCCCCTTTTGCCCTTGCATGCGCCCAAATAAAAATGCCCCACGGAAACGTGTCAACAAAAAAAGGCAGACAAACCAGGTGTGTGCGTGTACGTGGTCGGGAAAGTCAGCCCAACAAAATAGGTGCGTGCATGTGGGTGGGTCCGTCTGCCCACACCCATTTCGCCCCTGTGCGCACCCAAACGAGAAAACCCACGGAAATGGGCCAAGAAAGAAGGCAGACAAACACAGGTGTGAGCGTGCCTATATGGGTGGTGGGTGGGCGGGTGGGTGGGTGAGTGGGTCCACCCGAAAAAAAATAGGTGCATGCATCTAGGTGGATGGGTTCGCCAGCTGTCACAGATTTTGGACCAAAGGGGGCTCCAAAGGCCAAAGAGCAACAGGGTGTCACGAATTAGAACTGTGAGATCAAGCAGCCTAGCTCAGTTGGTAAGGCCCGCAAGTGGCATTCGGGAGGTCCTGGGTTCAATCCCCATTGTCCTCATGTACCTTCGTGGGCAAGCTTGGCGCCTGCCACCTACTGCTATGCTGTTGGTCCCCCCGAGTGACATTCAGCAGAGATTGCTGATGCTCATAGGGGGGGAAGGCGACCGGAAGGGAGGCACAGTGACTGACTGGCCCATCGAAGAAGCTACTGTAGGTCCTGATGCTACCGGCTGACCCCTGGCTGCTGTAGCAGTTATCACACCTGCTGGTGGGTGCAGCTCCGGCATGTTCCCTCCCTCGTTGGAGGCTTGAGCACGGATGTGGCTGCTACGGGGTTCCCCGTTATACAATACTATAATAATGACAAAAGGAAAGGCCTGAAAGGCTGCCCTGTCCAGATTCGACAGGTAATTGAATTGGTTGGGCTTAAAGAATTAGCCTTTAAAAGGAAAAAAAAAAAAAAAAATAGAACTGTGAATTTTCTGCGAATATAATTGCTGAACTTTACAGCAAATGATTAAACTAGCACCCCCTTCCCTGCTGGCTGTGTCCGGCTTATTAGAGTGAGACCCAATTATGGTCTTTACCTAACCCAATTATGGACTTTTAAACCCTTTATTATGGCTTTACTGAAGTCAGATCGAGAGGAGTAATTTGTAATTTTCCACTCGCTATAATGCAGGTCTCATAATGATTTGACCATCGATAGGTGTTTTCACCTCACGCACAATAGCATACAACAAGTACACAAAGAATCATCCACATGCAGATTCGCAAATGGATGCAAACAGCAAGCAGAAGAATATCGGAATGAGCAAACTTGACTTCAGTAGAAAAGACACACACACACACAAAAAAAAAAAGACTTAATTGACTCAATAGAAAAACGACAGTGAATGAGGAAAGGGGACGGATAACTCAACGTCACAACAGTCGGAGTCCAAACCATGCATTATCATCAGAGATAGGTAGCCCTTTTCTTTTTTTTTTTGTTTTTTTTTTTTGGTAACCCTTTTTGTTTCCACTTTCAAGATCACATCATAAGGATTCTAATGATGGACAGCACGCCTTGATGTGTCCTTGGGCGGACTAATCCAAAAAAAAAAAGAAAAAGAAAAAAAAGAAAAGGGACGTGAGGTACCTCATGACTCCCGAGGCATAACTTCCCAACCGACCGAAGTGCTCTGCTCTTGTTTCCTGATGGGGAAATGGATGCAAACAACGTGCGCGATGGCGTTTCCCAATGAGGAAACGAATGAACCATTGTGTTTTCTAATGGGGAAAATGAACGGACTCTTTGTTGAGTTTCCTAACGAAGAAATAGTAAATAGACCCCTGTGTTTCCTGATCGGGAAATGAATGCACTCTTGGTGTCACCTAATCGGGAAGTGAATGGAGACAACCCGTGTTACCCTCGACAATACATAACGCAACTGTAAATAGCACCGCATACGTGGCATCATGGGCAAGAATCGGAAGTGCCACGTCAGCAAACCATGTCAGGAAACCACGAATGCTGGAGTGACACGTGACGTAGAGATCGCGACGCCCGACGTGGCAACATACACATACAAGAAAAATAGCAACAGTCGCGGCGGAGAGAATCGACTCCCCCCCACCC